TTTGTGCTTTTTTTTGTGCTTTTTTGTTTCATTTTCCTTTTAAAAATAGCGGGTCTCCAGTTTTCTTTTGTTTTAAAGGGCAGCCCACCCCCGGGCCTGGAACACCGGGGCGGCCCACAGTTCCTGCGGCCTGCCCGGCCTCTGCCTCCCCTTCTACCAGGCCTGCCAGTGCCTGCCAGAGCCCAGCTCTGCCCAGCTCATTTTGTCTGGCAGCAGAATCCCCAAGCCTTTTCGACTGGATCGATATTGTCGATCATTTCTTCACTGCTTGCGCTCAGATGAAAAAAAGCATCGGGTTGACTTGAGGGTTTTGTAGCACATGATTAATGTAGCCAGCGTTAGAAAGGGCAAATGAAAGTCATCCTAATGCCAACTATGGCTAAATTGCTGTGCTTTTTTTTGTGGTATGATTTGTGGTCACTGTTACTGTGCCGGGGCAAAGCCCAACATATCTGCATGGTGGCGCTCCACCCCACCACTTTCTCACCAGTTCACTGTGAAGGTGGTGGCTTCCACGATCAAAGCCATCCTGTTTGTGGCAAGCCTGTTTTGAAGTACTGGCCGCCGCTAAATTCATTGGGCTCCACTGTCCACATATTGGGCCATGGTTGGGTAGAGTGGGTGGCAATGGGCGCTGGTTCACTTTTGGGCTAACAAGAGGCCTTGCGGATTAAAGTTTTTGGGGTCCACTAGCCTCATTTCTCCAACCCTTGTTTTGGTTCAAGAAGACGATACAAGAAGCCCAAAAAGGCCATTAGCTAGCCACGCAAATTGGTGATTCAGTGGGCTCTCAAGTCATTTAGTTTAATAGGTGGTGGCTTAACAGCTCTCTAGATTGGAGGCTCACTCCGAACACTGGTTAGTGGCTGCCGCTAATTCTGTTTGGCCTTCCACTATCTTGTCGTCTGGCACCTTCTTTAATATGGTATAGTTGGGTTGGCTCCTCCACTCAGAGGCTTCCATAGCTTAATGGTTAAAGCGTCGGTCTTCAATTCTCTACTTCCACGGTGTCAGGGTTTGAGTCCCGGCTGTGACCACACTTAGCGGATTCCGTTAAATCTTTGCCAGAATGGGACGTCAATTTGAAGTTGAAACTAGTGGCTTCCACTAAATCTGTGGTGGTGGTAATACTAGTGATAGTAGTGAGTAGCAGTAGTAGAGCTGTTGTAGTAGCAGCAGTAGTGGTAGCAAGTGTAGTGGCAGTAGCAGTAGGAGTGGTGGCAGTAACAACAGTAGTACCAGCAGAGGTAGTAGTAGTAGTAGTAGTTGTTGTTGTGGTGGTGGCAGTGGTAGCACTAGTAGTTGTGTGATCCAAGGGATTGGATCACACACCCACCTTTTGATCCATACCGTATGGATCGAGGTATGGATCGTGTGTGGGTTTGGGTGTGTGATCCAAGCCTTATGTTTCTGGCCGTAGCCATTTTTGGAGAGCCTTTGGACACTGAAGAAAAAACACAGCGGCCACACCCTCTTTCTGTCATGAGGCTGTATGGCATGCTTCAATCGGGCAGCAATTGAAACTGGTCATAACGAGGAAGGGAGGATAGCTCTAAGATGAGGTCATTGGCCAAGAGGCATTGTTGGTGAAACCGCGTCTCTGCAAGTAGTGATATGTTTGTGCAGAGTCTAGATCAGCTCGAATGTTACCCTCGAAAACCAATTCCTATCAATTCATGGTCAAGGTACCCAAGCCGAGCTCTTCGGATAATCTCGCAGACTCCATGAGACCCTTCACGAGACCTTTCTGGATCAATTTATCCAAGATTTCGGGTGTCAGAAATGATCAAACCCTTGCATTGACTTGCTGTGACCCCGCACACAGAAAGCTATACCGGACCGCGTGTGCGTCCTGTGCTCTCAGTCCCTCTGCGGTGGACCTCGAGGCAGTTTGGATTCCTCAACCTCAAAGTATGGCAACTAATGCTATCCTGACAGGAATTCCCTGCATCCTCGGTCAACGTGTCTTTCTGACAAGTGTGACAAGTGTGAATCCATTCAAGTTAAATACACATGACTAGATCTGAACATATTCAAGTTAGGGTTCCAGTCACTATAAGCTCTGAACATACCAGGACCATCCAAAGGGTGTCCAATGGACTACCACACCACTTTGGGATGCCAACACGACGATAGGTGAGACAGCCCAGAAGTCCTGCCAACTGATGACACAAACTTCGAGGAGCTCTGCCCCTTTTCATGCTGGGATTGCTCTTGAACTCCTCTTCTGCCCGATCCTGTGAGATAGAGATCGCTAAAACGAACCTGGACACGGATAGACAGCAAAGTCTAGCACAAGAACAATAATCCCAAAAGCTGGTATAGGCGTGGGTTATCGTATTCATCCCCTCCAACCTTCGCGGTTTTGGACAGCTATCAATTGAACGGCTCCAAGAAATCGCCATCCTTGACCCGTACATCTTCGATCTCCTATGGCCAGGCCCTGCCTAAGCCAGGCTCTGTGACACTTGGACTCTGGTGCCAGCCACAACCAGATCCACCTCGGAGGGAGAAGGATTCCGCCGCTGAGTTCGATATAGTTCGATTGTAAATCATGGTAGATGGAGATGGAGAAGGAGCAAAGCAAACTAAGAACTGTCCACAAGACCCGCGCCAAGTACTTTGCAGGTTCCAATGATCTTCCAGATGGCTCACTACCTGCACGTCTCCTCGATTCCTTGGTGCTACTTCAGCCATTACCGTGAGGATGGTACTCTCAAGGGGTGGATACTGATGGCACGAATTGGCGCGAGACGTTTTTTTGATAGAAATATGTATAGCTCAAAATCCAGTTGAACAGCTGCTATCTACATGACAATTGCTCGAAACTGAATACATAGGCATGTGCCAGCATGTAGCCCCTCAAACCGAACCAAAAACAGAAGTGCTGGAGATGGTGGGTCGGGTCACACTGATATACTCCCGACCTTACAAATCGAGGGAGGTCTGGCATCGTCAATCTCCGCTCATTGTGCAGCTCTTTTTTGTGAGGCGTTCTCACACGTGAAACATGTTTTGTAAAGTGCAAATCAACCTCCAAACAAGCGCAAAAACACACACACACACACTAAATATCACTAAACGATGTACAGCGTTCTTCCAGTGAACGCTCTCCAACGCTCCCTTCGAAGACCCTCCACTGCCCGTTCGAATGACCACCCACCGCTCGACGTCGTGAGGACCGGCGACATCGAAGCCGTCGCTCGAGGACCCCGACAGAGGCGGAGCGATAGAGGGATTCCAAGAACTCAGTCGAGATACCTGAGTAACAAGGGCATCACTACGAACGGAGCAAGAAGCTACGTAATGTAGCTCCTGGCATTACTAGTAACAAGAAGCTACTAGTAAGAAGGGCATCGCTAACTAGTAACAGGTCCCGTTCCAGAGTTGAGGCCGGACATTGTGACACCTTCTCTTTGGTTTCTCTTTAAGTGGCAGATTTCCGGTCCGCAGACGTGTCTCATCGACATCGGTGGAGTGAGAGGAAACCACCTGTCGTCCCACATCGGTTACCTGTGAAATCCTTCCATCCATCCACCCGGTCCATGATGGAATTGGGAATGTATCCTCTCCAAACCTGGAAGTGGACAACACCCTATTTGTAGAGGAACAAAACGTCTTCTCCGGGCTCTTGTCCAGTTCCATGTTTGTTGGATTGGATAGAGAGAGAGATTACGCTCTTTCAGTGGTGTTGCTGAGAGGTTGCGCCACTTGCTTCTGCTCGGAATGTACCCTTGAACTGGAACTTTGCCAGGAAAAAGAGTGGCTTGTGCCAGTTCTGGATACGTCACAAAAAGGGATGATTGTCGGACTGCATTGCACCATATTGCACCTACATAATTGGAACACAAGAATACCGGTGCTATCAAGTGATCGGACAAGGACGATCCCGACGAATCGAGTCCTCAGGATGAAGTCCAATACTCGATGAAGTCGCCCCAGCAGTGAACTCAATTTGAAGGTTCTGTGAACTTGAGGCACAGAGTCTATCATGAAAAAAAGAAAGTGAGCCATGCCATAGAAACCCTGGCAAAATATGTTGTCTTATTTCTGAGAGCCTCCCAGTGTTTCCAGTCTTGTCACAATGTTGCCCAGCCTTCGTTGCTGCCTTGTGAAGTAGTTGTGAAAAGATATTGCTGGATCTTAGGTCAGGTTCTCACCCCTCCTGCATTCTTCACAACTGTCCTTCCTCCATCAGAAAGTGCCTTTAGGGACAAAATGTTGGATTTATTCAAACCTAAATTTAGGAAGGTACTACCTAGAAAGGCTTCGAATGGCTTACAGTACCTACGAATGAAAAGGGATGGGATATGAGATGACGTTTTCACTCTTTGCTTGCGGGACCTGTTAACATGTGTTAACCATCACCATCGACCAGATGGCGCCCTTCTCGGCATATGGCCCGCATGGCGCAGCGGCCGAGGCGCTATAAATATACGTGCAGCAAATCAATCGGAATAATCTGGGCGAGAAGCCTCGGCACCATGACATGAGCCCGGCACCGAGATGTCTCCGGGTCTCTCCCCGCGGTGCGGTGCTGTCGTCTTAGACAGGTGGTTGCACGAGTACTAAGAGAAGAACTGGGTGTGTGCCAAATTTCCACACAGATCTGCTGCGACAAAGAGTCTGCAAAGAACACGTCCTCTAGGATGGCTACAGCAATGGAACAAGACCATATCTTTTTCCACCGTACTTCACATGGGTCCCAAGAAACATCTGAACCGTTTGAGCCTTCTCAGTTTGAGTGGTCGCACATTCTATCCAAATTGTACGTAATATAAGCAAGAATAAGCGATACGAACACATCAGCAGGGTCTCGCAGCTCACCAGCACAACATCCAACACCTGCAGAACTGGTGAGCAAACCCCAAATTGTTGGTATTTGTTGGTCATCCCCAAAATGTCCCAAGAATGGGCGAGATGAGGTCATGAGGTAAAAGGCGCAAAAGGCCGTGTTCCCTTTTCGTGGTGGATGTATGTTCCTTGTGCAAGTTGTTTGATATTATCTACAGTCTACAGCACACAAAAAATCGACAACAATTGTCTAGACAAGCAACACGCCGGCCGCCAGCCAAAAAAAATACGTCGTTGTTTCTTTTCTTTCAATCACCCCAGCTCCCACACGTGCTCATAAAGTCGGCAGGTGGCGACGGTGGTGCGGAAATTACACAGTACCACATCACTTCTGAGGTTTGAGGTTGGACCGTTGGTCCTCCCATTCACCACTCCAGTTCATTCCTCCCACAGATCCGACCTGCAAAGCACTTCTTAAAAAGGTCGCCTTTCTCTCTCATGTCCTGAAGAACAACGGCAAGAAGAAACTGAACATATACAGTAGAAGATCATCTTTTGCTGCCTTTGGAAAACCTCCAGATCTTCGACTGTCGGTAATGTCTGGGCCCAGTTCCAAGCACCGTTCACCTCAAAGGGTGGAGTTATCCATACCCTCCACACCAGCATAGCCCCCACCTGGTGCAGAAATGCTTGGTCATTAGAAGAAAACAGGGGTTATATAGGGGCTATGTATATATATATATGCTATGCGGCGAACGTCTGGGGGAGTTCCACCGTCGTCAACCCGGCGTCCTTGAGCGCATCAATGGGCCCGTGGATTCGTAAAGCCTCCCGGGTGAGACGATCCGTCGAAGATCCGCCGAGAACTCGGCCAATTGGTGGTGGCAGCATGTCTCATCGGGCTGCGGCCCAAGGGTGGCGGCACATGCTGATTTGGCACGTGCAGTTCTTGTCTTGGGAGGATCCCAAAACAAATGAAGACGCTGCCATCGCTCCACCAGTTAGTCACCAACTCTTGAAGCCTGGTGGATGAAAGCTCGGTTCAACAGCGAGGAGATAAATCGGTCATGGCGTTCTGAGTTGGAAACGGGAACGACTAGGTGCATCTAGACATAGTATATAATTGAAAACATACTTTTCGTTACCCAATGACTATTGATTGGGGACTCGAGAAAAAGAGAAGCCGTCAAGAACCCGAGGCTTCCCTATGCAACGGCTCAGCAAGTCATGGATATCCCTTTCCTTTGGGATCCTTTGGGCATGTTGTAAAGCAGGTTCCGAGCAAAAGAATCAAGCCAGGTGTTGGTGGATGGTAACTCCACATGTAACGAGTATAATATATATACGTATATAGTCACAAGTCACATGTATATATATCATCATATACTGTATTCCATTAGAATAACCAAGGGATGCTGGACCGATTGCTGGACCCTTCTTCACAATGGATGTGACCAGCTGAACTCGCCGACTCGGTGCACCCGACCTCTGCTGGCTCTCCAGGTCGTAGCGGCAGCGCCTCAGTGGAAGATGCAATGATATAGGAACCCAAACAGGTTCAACGGGTTTTGCATGGTACTGCCTATCAGAACTGCCTGCTAAGGGTGGGACCAGTTCTTTGTTTGGTTTGTTTCAGGGATAGTTGAATCTCAGAATCTCACAGGATTTTTAGGATTTCATCTGTTGGATGTTCCTTTCAAGTTCAGAAGGCTCTACCCACTGCAGTCACTGGTCCCCTGACCAGGGGCTCATCCTAACCAGGTGTGCTGCCTGTCCGACTTGGAGGGATGCGCAGCAAAGGAAAAGGTTTTGGACTTAAAGGTTCCACTTGTAAAACACCTCTAAAGTAAGGAGGTGGAGGGACATGACAACTTCCTCTCATTACAAAGAAGTCTTCAAGGCGAGTGTCTTGTTGTTGTTTGCCTGCAAGGGCACAGCGTTTCCAAGAGGCCCCTTTGTGGTTCACGATAACCTCTTGGTTCAGCTCTTGGTGAGGCTCCCAGCGGTTCAATTCAACTACAGTATACGATTTCTAAAAAAACACATACATCCTGCATGCTTATACTTACTTGCTTCATGATTCATCATCACCTATAAGTATACCATAACCATCCATAACCGTAACCCAGCAAGTTAAGCTCCAAATCAAGCATTCCCCAATCGCCCATCTAGACACCGGACCCGCGCAGTCCGCCCGACCCAGTCCGTCCGTTCGGTCGCAACGGGTGAGCCAAGAAGCACCTGCCTGTAGCCGGGTCTTCAGTGTGTCAGCTGGATGGGACAGGGCCGCTCCCAAGGTGCCGGACACGGCCTCGTGTGGCGCCAGGATGCAGCGCCGCGAGGCCGCTTTTTCGGACGACGGGGGGGAGAGAGAGCGAAAGAGAGCGAAAGCGAAAACAAAGGAGGCAGGATATGGCAGGATCAAGAGTTGTGCTGTTGTGCCCCAGACTTTCCGCATCATGTTGTTTTTTTTTCAGGGCATGCACCCAGAATCTTGTAGAATCTTCAACTCCAACTTGGCAGCCCACCACTTTCCAATATAGGGAACATGTCCAGAGCAAGATGTGGGTGCTGACAAGGATGACTGGTTCCCAGTAGCCATGCTGAAGTATTATACGATGTTCAAACCTCACCCAGGACCCAGCACGCCATGCATGATTGGTTTACAAAGGTTTGTTGCGAAGGATGGTTCCCTACCATTTTTAATTGTTTACATCCCTACAACATGTTGGACAGAATTGTAGCATGTAGTATATCAGTATATCCCGTTCATATACGACAGTTCGTTGCACGCCAGGCATCAACCCAAGTCACCTCCGAACCGGGATCGAAACTCCATGAACCCTAGACTTCCGTTCGACCATTAACAAAAGTGATTGACCTGGTTTTGTAGTGTAAAATCCTTAGTTGGTTCGGTAAGGCCTACTAGATCAATGGCGGGCCAGGAAGCCTAGGGGAAGTTTTCATAGAAAGTCCTTAGCGACCCCAAAAACACCTCTCTTCGATTAAACAGTCCCATGTGAAAGAAAAACACACACATACACACCAGTTTTCCAGGGTGAAGTTCACTATGGAACCCCCCGAAAGAAGCCTTGGCCACCTCTCTTCACACCCCATCCGCTCCCAGATCCAAGAAGCCGAGGCCGCCAGGGTGGCTGCGGCGTCCGAGAGCTCCTGGCGGTCCCGGTCTCCGAGCGCACCGGTGTAGATTCGTTGTAGATGCCTGCGGGTGTAGGTAAACTGGTGGTTAGGTCGATGTGGTCGTGGTTAAATGCTAGCTTCATGCTGCAGGTTAGCCTCACATCATTTCTCGCTTTAAGGCTGGTGGTGGACAACATATTCAACACTCGGAATGCTGTGGATAGCTTGATAGGGGAGGGGTCACAGGGCCCACGTGGAGCCATGCACTGGTGGCGTCGGAACATTGTCTTATGCCAGTTCCAAACTCTGTCAAAGCCTATTTACTAATTGTTTTGTAGCCAGCCATGCACACCAAAAAGACAAACGTCATCAAAGTAGCATGGTTTTGTATCCTGCACCATCTGACACGTGAGATTCAACTTAGATAATGTCACGACGGGAATAACTACAGACTTCTCACGAGTGTATACGGAAATATATCTGCGTGTTCCAGCATTCCAACTGACGTGATGTATCCAAGGCCAACACTTCAATCAACCATGTGGCCTGCACAACATCCTGCCAAACATGCACAAAGTAATATATACGAAGTACATACAGCAAACACCTCAAACCAACCAACACAAACACACAAGAAGGCCATTTTTCCTGCTCCCCCTCGCAGTATTTTCCTCCCCACCATGACTGCTCTTGACTGCCCGAGTCGACTGTCGGGTCCAGGCGTTGCTCTTGGACCCAACTCTTCACCATAGGGTTCACCGCCATATAGGAGCTGCAAAAAATGCCTCCATCGCAAGTCGAATTGGAGTTGTGTTTTGTCGTATTGGAGTCGAGTCGTGAGTCGTTTTGTTTCACGTACACGTCGTCGTCATGTCGAAGGAGACGTTGAGACAGTCTGGCTAGCTATTAGAATGGGGATGTCATCCCAGTTCCCTACAATCTCTTGTGGGACTATTGGATTTTAGGAGCATCTGGATGAACCTGCAGCCCCAAGAAATGACTTTTCGACATCTACAATGATTTTCAAGTCTGGGATCCGGGGGTTCTCCTCCAGGATCGAGGCTATAGCTCTCCTCCACTACTTCCTCCACTGTTAGAGTTGTTGGAGTTGTCCTTTAACCATCCTTCCTGTGAACGACCTCTGATCTCACGCTCAGCTGCCTTCTCGTGTGGCACCCATGGAATATCCACGGTAGAGGCCCAAGAAGCCATATTCTGACACCACACGCCTGCGACACGTGCGCACGCATCATCGCGCATCGAGAAGCACAACGAGTGGCGACGTCTTTGGGCCTCAACCTTTCCGAAGGAAGACCAACAATCAAAGGCGACTCTCTGCTCTGCCGAGGTGACTCTTGCCGAAGTTCTTTCAAGGAGTTCGATATGTATATACAGTATTATATGTTCTTTGTATTACTGTATATGATGACTAACCGCATGTAACAAGTATATAGACATATATAGACCATAAACATCCCGACGCGTGGATTTCTGAACGTGTGGTCTGTTGTTTTTTTGCTTTTATCTATAGCACTCCAGCGTGGTATTTGCAGTGTTTTTGCAAGTTGAATGCAGAGAAATGAGTGTATTTGTAAGGGGTTTTACAACTGGTTTGGTATTTGCCACACAAAACATGCTTGACCATGCCTAAAATGAGATCTCATTTTCAAGAAAGAATGTATCATCACAGGACATCTGCGCCTGTTTCTCACATGCCTCGCAGCGTTTTCGCAGTAAGTGTGGCCAGGGAATCATGCTTGGCATGTTCCCATCGCCACTGCCACGCCCTTGCGTGACGCCAGATCTTCTGATTGATCTTTGTCTTATCGGTGACGTCCGTGGTTCTGATCTGCTTGGGCAAAGCTTTTTTCAACAAAGGCCAAACTCCATCAATCGTGCCCGTATGAACTTTCAGAGTCTTTCTCTTGAACTTCACCGTGTGACAAAACTGACCGGACCGGTGAGAACAAGCAAAGTGTTTTACCTGCATCTTTTCACACAAAGAAGGATAGACTTTTGCCCCATCAGAGAACAGAACGGTTCGTTGGCCAAGTCCGTCGTGACTCATGATGTGGTCCAAGACACCGCTCTTCTCAATCGCCTTCTTGCCTTCCACTGGCGGTTTACCAAAGTTGACCGCATCAGCAGCTCCTGCAAATCAAGACGCCAGGTAATTTATAAAAAAGGATTTCGAGGCATAAACACACACACTCATGGATATGCCTGGAAGCCGCCCAGCCGCAGCACTAAGACCAGGGCCGCGCAAAGAGCGCGACGGCGCAGGAGCGCCTCCATGAAGACGTAAAACTGGAGCCAAAGAAGGAAAAGTCCGACCAAATCGGCAAATACATCATGCAAATTGCCCCCCCCCGAAAACTGCGAAGGAAGATCATTCGGCTGTGGAGGTGCGAATGTCCTCACATTGTTCTCCAAACTCTCAGCTTCGGTGGGTCGGGACGTGCACTGGTAGTCAGCCCTGGTCTTCATACTTGGAAGGAACTTCATATTGCCTTTAACATCTGACAGCTCCGAAAAGGTACGTGTTCGAAAAATGCAACCACTACACGTGCGGTTTTCCACGCGTAGGCATAAACATGACTGGATGGCTTCTTTCGTCCTCATACCTGGGCCTCACCGGGATGTTTGGACATCAGCGAGAAGAAGGGTCACAGACTTCTCCCAACCGGCAAAACCCAACTGACAAAAACGGCGCCTGGCTGTTGAAAACATTGACGATCCATGATTGGACTGATTCACCTTAGCACAGAGAGAAGAGAGAGAGAGAGGTGCGAGTTGAAACCAGTAAGTACTGCCCACGGTTCACTAGTATGTGGTAACTTCATCAGTCTCATAATGTGTATATATATATATATGAATCGGTATAATTATTTTCCACATATACTAATAATATACCTATATAGTCTTTCACCATAGATCTGACGAATTTGGTCTTTTTTGCAGTGCTTGACGTCGAAACTTCCTGAACCCAGCAAGCTTGAGGAACGATGAGATGCACTTGTTTTCATCCTGCTCCAAACCGTGTGAGCTGTTTTGGATCGCGAAGGTTTGTTGTATCAAACAACAATCTGGTTTCAGTTCAAAGACCGTAAAACCATACTAAAAATAAAGAAAGAAGAGTTAATAAGCCGAGCAAATAGCAGCGATGTCCGGTGCGGAAAGGCCCAACGACGACACAATCCTGCAATTCAGTGCCCCTTTTGGGGATAAGTAAAACCAAGTATCACCTGAAAATCTGACCCGGTCACTTACTGCTTGCCCCTTGATCAAAGGACACCACCCCTTTTTCAACCAACTGGCTCCAATCATGAACCGCCAAACTTTGGTGGATCGAAATTAATCGGAACACATGGCTCCATACACACATGCTGATCTACACTGCTTGCGCCACCGGTGTCAATGGCGCACTGCAAGCTTCGACCATGTTCGAGGCTAGAGATCCACCGAAAAGTTGGTCGTCACCAGAACAGACTCACAGACCAATGGGCCAAGTCGAGATGCGAATGATTTGGAGTTCGAAGCAAAACTCCCCCTGCAAAAGAGACGGATCTGGTTTCCGCACACCCAGATCATGTTTTGCAGAAGAGTCTCTTCTACCAGTTGGCAGGGGCACTGCACCAATGCTGATGCAGCCTTGGCTCCAGAAAAGGTCACCATCCATATCAGGATCACTCAACACGGTGAATATCTATATTTCATTGATGTTTGATGATGTTTGTTGTGTATTTCTTGGATGTCCCGGTCCCGGTCTTGCAAACTAACAACTCACAGTCAGGCAGGATCAGCATCGTCTAAGTCACTCAGTGATCGCACGGGCAAGATTGGGAACGGATCGAAAGGGGCAACCCCTGTGTAAAAACTGCTCACAAGATGTGATCACTTTAACGATGTTAAGGGGTTCTTCTGTGCAGTTTGGAGCTTGCGTGTAATTTTATACTTAGTACTTGGCTGCCACCAAGCAGGAAGCAAAGAACATACTAACCTGCTGCATCCTTGCCCAATCATCCAAATGATTCCAAGCGACTGAACTCACACACTCTTTACCACAACTCCCAAAACAATGAGAGGACCCTTTCTCTTTGGTCAGTCCCTTCCAGCTCCGACCATCCGCTCGGACCGGCACGCCGGCCACGACGGCGGCGCCCAAGCGCTCGCTCTCCCGGAGCTCGGAGGCGCCTCACTCGAAGGGCCGACGCGGGGGGTTTGGGAGCCCAAAGGCTTCATCCTGTTGATGGCCCAAAAGCAGAGTCCATGCAAAAAGTGCGGAAAACCCCATGAAGAACCAAGGGGAGACATAGCTTGATTCTCAGTTGCAGTGTGCAGTTGGGTTCGGGATGGCAAGCCACTATGTTGTCAGAGAGAAGGCAATCTGTCAAGCCAGAAATCACCCCAGATGTGTTCACGTATCGCTAACACAGACCCTGAAGTCATGGTCATGGGTAGATCGGATGCACAACTTTCTTGCACTCAAGCCACAACTGGTTTGTTCGTTCATCCAAATGGTGGTCAGGTCTTTGTGAAGCATCCTCTACGGTTTGAGTCCTTGGGGTCCACTGTCTTCCACCAGTTGGGAGGGGGTATCTTGGAATCCTGGCAAATCCCGAGACACTGCGTTGAAACAATAATTCCTCATCGGTAAAAATGGCTGAACTCAGTGCACCCTCCAAAAATGAAATGTGGAGCCACCTGAACTGCTGGTTTGGTATGTAGCAAAGTCCTATCTATGACCCGACTTCAAGTACTGATAAAATGGGAAATAAAAGCAGGTACTTGTACCATGGGACATACCTATGGTACCGAGCGACGAACGGGTCGACGTCCAGGATCCCCTGGTCCCTGCGACCTGGCCTTTGGTCGCCTGGCGGACCATCGACCGGTCCGGGTGGTGTAGATGGAGGACATGGGGAGAATGCCCTTGATTTCGAACAGAAGGGGGATCACTCTTGAATTCAAACAGAAGGGGTGTGCCTTCCTTCAAGAAGATGTGGCCAGTTCCTGGATATCATACCTGAATCCAAATACACATCCAAATCCCTGGCTGTTAGTCACAAAGGATGACCCTGGTAAAATCTCGTCAGTTCTCATGACCTCAGCAGTTATGACTATGGAGGCGAAACGTCAATCGACCGGAGCTTGATGAGGCCCACCTTGGCACCGCCCCCAGTCCTTGCTCCTAGTAGCGATGCCCTTTGTTGCTAGTAGCTTCCTGCTCCTAGTAGTAATGCCAGGAGCTACTAGTAGCTTCTTGTTACTGGTAGCGATGCCCTTGCAAGGGCATAATAACAAACATATACAAACATAGTCTCTCAACTTCTTTCCGTGCTCAGCCCTGCCAGTGTATCCGGATGTTCTTGTAGCTCAAAGGTGTCACAGCCTTTCCAGAAGTATATCCAAAGTCTCATTGACAAATCCCTCTGGCAATGAGCGAATCTTACAACTACATCCCCTGTTTTAAGAACAGTTCATTTTGATCCAGCCTCCTACCACAGTTGCACCAGCCACTTTGAACAATGAGACATCCGGTATTTCAGGTGGCTTTCTTTCCAACTTCCTTACCGGGGGAGTTGCTGAACTCCTGTCAAGCCTGTTCCCTTAAAGTGGCACCTTGATCCCTGAGCTGATGAGGCTGTTGGCGCCAAACCTCGGGTGCTGCGGTGGCCTCTGGGGAGATCGACCCATGCCTGCACAATCTGCAGCCACCAGCTGAGTCTATTTATGTCTTCCAGGACCTTCAAAGTGACCTCTTTGGAGTCTCTAAGTGACCTCTTTAGGGACTAAGTGACCTCATTCTAGGATATCAAAAGGTCACGTTGAAGGTCCTGGTTTCTTATTTTTTTCTGGGTCAAATATGGGCCCAATATAGGTCAAAGATGCGAAGCCTTTTTGTTCTAGAACCCAACAGCCAAGCCGTCTGTGATATGCCTAGCTTCGATGGGGTCAACGGCGTTCACGGGTCCAAGTTCATGTACAGAACCATGCTGTTCGCCTTCCAGAGTGGTTGGAAGTCCAAGCACCGACTTGGGGGCCCCAACTAGCTATCCCCCTCAAAGGGACCTCACCTGTGAAAGGCTAGTTCGTTGGCCCTCACCCATCAAAGGAACTAGCTGAACTAGCTATCCCCAAAAAGCACTCAAGAGCCCTTCGTCCTTGTGGGCCCAATCCTCCCGTCAAGCCCACCACTCGGCCCCCAAAAAGGGCCACGCTGGATACAAGTGATCGGGGCAATGGAGGCCTCGGATAGGGCCGATCCAGCGATCAGATTGACTCACGGGTCACTGCAAGACATCGATCACACATGATCAAACAAGGATGACTGCTGGTGGGTGAGCACCCCTTTTAGGACTACGGGAAAAGGTTTACCATGTGCTTAAGTTGGAGTGGATCAAGCACAGCACTGGGATAGTTTCGATGCTTCACAATTCGCAGCCCCCCGCAGCACATGTCTGTCTGTCTGAGACGTCCTTTTTCCACACCCCGAATCATGGGAACCCCCAGGACAGACCGCTCCAGCGGCCTAGCGATTCAAAGGGTGTCCTCCGCCTTCGAGTCACATCGCGTCACGGTTGGCATCTGAGACACGATTGCCAAGGGTAGGCCCCTGTAGCCTTAGGCCAACTGATAGGTGAATGAACGAATGCGTGTGAGCACATTCTAAACATCGGCTTGTCGCCTACCCATACAGAGCGCTATATATTATTGCTCCCACTGCTCGTTCAAATCACCAAAATTCCCCCAACATGGACGTCTTGGAGATAAAGTTGTCAACTGGTGGAACTGTAAAGCTGAGCATGAGGATCATCAAGGCGTTTCTTTGTGAAACAGAGTGACTTGTAGGGCAGTCTGAACTAGCATCGTTTTGAGAATACCCAAGTCGGACAAACTACAACTCATCCGAAGCAAAACACGGCAAATCCTAAGCAAAACGCGTGCAAGGAACAGTAGGAAGGGTTGATGGCCCTTGAAAGCGAGAATCGCTGCTGCTGGAGCTCCGTCTTCCAAAAGACCTGCGCAAAACGCGCACCGAAGTATCGACGACTCGTGGGGGGGGTTGCGCACCTTTCGGAACGGAGAGTCTACCCATCACAATGTGAGAATCACACCGGTGAAAGAAATAACATATAAAAAAGAAACAATAAAGGTCTGAAAAAATCTGACATGACTTCACAAAATTCTAAAATACTTAAATACACGGTCGAAAAGGCTGAAAAAGAAAAGAACACCTTCAAACGGATCCTCTTCCGGTGTCAGATGGTTATCGAGTCACCGGACCCCCCCCCCCCGGTCCCGACCCCGGTCGGGAACTCGTCCGAGCCACGGCCGGGCGCATGATGGCCATTTCGATGGAGCCCACAGATGCGCCGATGCCGGCATGCTCCAGCGCCGTCAACTCCTTAGAGGACGAGTGAGACGGATGGGATGATGGGGTTGTGGGGACCATAGACCCGGTGGGTGAGTGGCTTAAGGACTTAGAGACGGCATGAAAGGACCAAGTCTTCATTTTGGGTGCGCGCCCAAGCCCCAACACCCGCAAAACACAATCATTGAATGCCTTAATAATCCTTAATATCATAGAAAGCTTTCAGTGCCGTACTGTCGAGCGAGCTTCTTAGAGCTTCTCGCAACTCTCATGCGAAGCGACAGTCATCGAAACATGCAAACAGGTTCTATGGCCCCGAACAAAAACTGTGATATACTGGACTACTGGAGTCACATATTATGAGTATAGAATCAAAAGCCCTATGTCATGTGCATGTTGCTTCGATCACAGCCCAAACATCACAGTCATTGGTCATTGGTCATCATCTGAAACTTCAAGTATAGCAATTGTAGGGCCATCAAACAAGCGACAATCACCGCACAAACACACACACAGACACACGGAAGTCGAACATAGGACCCTGAAAGACACAACTCTCGTGTACAAGAGGCTTACAGTGGTTTCAGAGTAGATGGCACGTTTCCCCCAAGATGTCCTGAACAAATGGGGGTCCATTTTTCAACCACCGACCTTGGGGTCTGTGCCATTGGTCCTCTCAATCCATATGCCGCTTCCCGACCAAGGCGGACGCCGTTTTCTCGGCATTGAGTCGATCCGAAAGCCGTCTGAGCTCCACACTCTGTCTGCCATTGAGCCTGTTGAACAAACTCGTCCGTGTGGGAAGCAACATGGAATTCTTGGGGCCTACCATGGCCTACCTCAAACTGAACAACTCGGAACCTCTCGTTACATCCCTTCATTCTCCACTGACAAGGTTGAATCCAAAGCTGAGGATCCAAATTGATTCCCAGGTGAGGCCCATTGTGAGCTGAGGGCCGAACTTCTTTATGGGGATATCCAACTCATCTGTATACATGAACACAAAACAAATGAGAGATCATCAATTGGTATACACTCCGACTCACTATATAACACGGAAGTGGAAAATCCCCTTTAGAGGAAAGTAGTCCAGCAAGGGACCATGCCATCCACTTCCATGTGATGTGTTCGTCGGAGGGTAGCATTACTGGGAGATATATAGGCATGGACATGTGGGACGTCACCCAACATATAATGAGACGAGCCCGAAGAAACATTTCTTTGGGGGACACACTGGAATCACCCATCTGGCCTATCCCTTGAATCCTGCACAAACTGCCCTAGTGCAAGTGAACAAATGGTCAACCAAACGCTAATACTTTATCAATTGCCGGTGGTGCACTTTTGCAGAGATGGCCAGCCAAGAATAGCGGCTTCGTGATGATGACAGTCATAGAATAGCACCACCAACAAGAACATCCAAGATCCCAACTCCATACAAACACCAAGAACATCCTCTTGGTGCAGATCCCTTGGGTCTTTTGTGGTACGAAGTGGTAAAAAAGGATCTTTCACCCACAATACAGCATCTAATTCCCTCGAAACGTGAGCAGCTTCCCCTTTTGCAATCAACAACAAGAAATCACCGATCAGGCAACCCAGATTGCTGAGTGACACGGTTAGTGTCTGGTCTAGTATTTCCTTGAACAAACAATCTTTTTCAGCTACACCCACCCAGCTTCGTGCGTTTGGTGCGCCCCGTTTTGGCTTCACCGTCGAACACAGCGACACCAGGAGCAAAACCGAGAGACGCCTGTGCAGCTGAATGGCTGGGGTTGGGTCACTGAGCCAATACGGCGGTCAAGCAATCACTGGCACGCCTGGAATTACTTGATTCTGGGCGAATTCTGAGTGTCTCAAGCCGGCACTGAAAAAAAAGAGACGAGCTTTGCGGGAAGACATAGCAACCATCCGGTGAAAAAAGGTCTAAGATTGGTCGAAGGCTGAGGATATTTTCCAGCCAACAGAGAGATGTTTGGCCTTCTGATTGGATGGTGAACGAGACATTTGCGATGGGTTTGAGTCGGTTTGAGCACTACTTGCACATATCACATATCTTGTGAAACCAACATTCAGACCCTGGTTCAACTTCCGCAGGAGTAGGAGCAAACCAAACACCGAAAACCACGAGTCGCTCCGCGCTCCTGGAACAGCCGTCAGACACCGTTTTCGGCATCTTGGGTGCGCAGGCCTAACATCCCCTAACCGAAAACCACCGAATCCATGCAGCATCATGCAGCACCATGCACCATGCAGTTGGCAACATTCCATGTCTGCCAGGACCTGGTGGATTGTTCGACATACGGTACGTTGAAGATGAGGATGAGGCCACACAAACAACCACGCAGAGTCGACGCAGCTCGGTCCGGATTGAATGAACTGTCGGATATCGGACAAATGGATGCACCTTGCTTGCAGATAGCCGTGTCTTCATGATGAATGGACCTATTCGACGCACGGAGAATCAAGTTGACTCTTTGACTCCAAGTTGGGGACGTTCATTTCATGTATAATAAGCGCTTGCTCTGAAAGTCTCTGTCATTGGATGTGCATCTACCTGGAGTTCCAAGGAGGTGGTATTTAGTCCCCAAGTGAGTGGAGAATGGTCACGCGTTCCGTCCACTAACCACCCCTTTGGAACAGTTGGTCTAGTTCGATCTTTTGACTCACGCACGCTGGAGACGCCACAACGGAGTTTCCACATGCTGCAGGATTTCATCCATCAAGAGTTTCAATTTCGTTCAATTTGCTCCACTGCATCTTCCTGATATCCCTTGAGCCGCCGCACCGCTTTGGGAGCTGCCTTGGGAGCTGCACGCTCCTGAGAGCTCGGAGATGAGCTTCCAAGCGAAGCGCCAAAACCTACTGAGCACGTCTCCAGGCTGACCAACTCACCGTGATAGATTCCGACAGAGACTCCATGGGACTGGAAGATATGCCGCCCCATTGACCACGTGTTTGGTCCACCCAACCCTAATGTATGTAAACATGCCAGTCTCATGGAGTGTCTGTGATAGTTTCCCAGATTCTTACGGCTGGTATGCCCAAGGAGGTCCCTATGTGTAAACAACCTTAGAGACCAAGATCAGGGCAGGCTTCTAGACTCGAGAGCTTGATATGTTGAAATCAAGTCAAGGAGTCAAGTAGTTTCAAGGTGTTGTTCGCATTCATCTGGTCAACCAAGGAGTTGAAATGGGACAGGAAGCAACATCTGCAGTATGGGTGGTCTATCAACCTATCATCTATCAGTCTATCAGTCTATCAATCTGGTCACACAAATCTAAGTTGCTGGAACATTCTTATAATTGACACTTACAATTCTTTCAAACCAAGTGCAACAAAAAAATACGGCGCAACTTCTCCACTTGGTTCAGGTGCCCCATCAGGCGGCTCCGAAACGCCACTGCTCCTCCGCAGGCAGTGGACGACTGGTTGAGCCGGGCGCATCATTGCCAGGTGCCGGCGCGGGCGTGGCCGGCAGCGGGGCGGGCGCGGCCGGAACGGGCGTTGAGGCATGGAGCACCTGCTGAAACTCCTCGTGTGGAGCCAATGAACGATTGCAGAAATAGGCCAAAGGATTGCAAAATAGTATGGCTCTTTGTTGGAGCCAACGACTTCCAAGAATCTCCAACGATGTTTCGGAATTGGTGAAATTCTTGGAAGTCCTCATTTTTCTTGAAGGACACCAAAAAGGACCAAATCGCTTGTTTGAGTCAGAAGGGACTTGAACCGATGCGGTATATATGGTTATGATATGCACTACTGAGCTGAACGTGAGTCGACTCTGGGACACGTGAATCAAACAGTCGCCGGTCCTTGTGCAAACAGTAGCCCATGCCCTCAGCATCACGAAGGCTGTGGATCATCTTTTAAAACAACATCCTTCAGTGGCAAGCATTGACTTGTGGTCCATGTATGCCGAAGGTCTTCTTGCGGAACCTAATGAATGCAGGAGAGAGGAAACATCTATATAGACTAGTGTTCAAGGAATCTTGTGGAAGCTCAATTGGCGAATGCATCTATATAGGCCGTTTTCACGAAATAAAACAACACACAAACAAAACACACAGCCACCCAAGAACTCCAAGCTCCATGGCACCAAGCTCTCTTCACCTCTGGGCCTCCCGGACCATGCCCAAGAACATCACCAGCGGCGAAGCCACCAGGGTCCCAACCGCGAGCTGCGGACGAGGCTCGGTTCTTGCGGCCAAACCGGACCAAAGAAGGGAACTGTGCAACGAGTGAACAAGGAAATCTTAGGATTTGGGGAAATAAAAACAGCAACTGGATCCACTTTAAACATAATCTGCAGTTGTAGGTGAAAAGCTTAAGCATACGTACGTATCAAATTCATTGACATGCGCTGGGATGGGCAGTCTTTCGACAAAACGAATTTGGTGCATGATATGCCAAAGGAAAAGGGAACTTGATCACACCACCACCTAGCTCGGGACCTCGGGTCAGGTATTTCAATTTGATGTTATCCTTACGCCATTTACTTTGTTCCTCTCAAGTACGTCAAAACTCACAATGCCCTAAGATCACCCCAACAAAAAGACAACAGAACAAGCGGTGCTGTACTGTTCGTCCGCTGGCCTTGCCCATGAGGCCCGCTCGGACGGAGGTCATTGCGTGCAAGGGGACGCCGGAGGCGAAGAGCTGCAAATTCAAGAGGACCTGACCCAATGATGTTCTTTTGTGAAGAATAGAGGGGTCGGCTTGGTACTACCTATGTTGGTGGTTCACTTGGGGGTATCCCCTCTATTGACTCGATTCAATCAACCACCCAATAGTAAAAGGATGTAAAAGGCCATCTATGGACCCGACGAGCCGTGGCGCCACTTGCGCCTTTCGTGACCTGGGGTTGTTGGGGTGGATCATATATAAACCAAGTGACGTATCATACTCGATTTGGAGTCCACACTGTCTGATTTGGGATTCAGAAGACCCAGCTACACAATATCCCTATATATACTTACTATACTTACCCGTTTGACAGGTTCTACCGAGCAATCCAAGCCGTCGAAACCCGCGCGCACAAATTGGGCCAAACCTGCATGATGCCGTGGCAAAAGGAGAGCACCACGTAGGTGGGCAAGAGACGAAAGCCAGCCTCGTCGGAGCAAAGAACCGGGGTCAGTTGGGGTGGCCATCCTGTTCTTCTCGGTGGAGAAGCAGGATCTCAGGTCCCAGGTGATAAGAAACTTCAACTCCATGCAGCACAGGGCAGCCTTCTGGAAAAGCGACCATGGGTTTGGGAGCTGGATGTCCTTGTTGTTTTGGGCCGACTTCAGGTGGCCTTAACCCCAAGATTGTTCAACATGTATTCAAGCCTACCAGTTTTTGGCATGTGAAGGAAAACAACAAAAAGCGGGATCTCTTGCCCATTTTTGACCCGATCTTTCGGCCGTCCCAGGCACTGGATGGGCGGTCTGGCAACCAATGGCCGCAATGCCACCACCGATCAAGCCTGGACTGTCGGGAAAAAGGGAGGGTGATGGAACTTGTATGTTCAATTCATGCGTGTATAGCAGTGGGCCAAATCGAGAATGGGCTCCAATTCATAGTTTCAAGTCTAAAATTTGGGTGTAGTGGTTGTGCTGCGAACTTGTTTTCTTTTATGTTTTAGCAAGTAACTTTAATTTACTTTAATGAGTTATCTGAGATTCAGCTACATCTCTGGCTCGTGCAACCAATCCATCCAGCCCAGCCGCAACGAGTCCCGTTTGTCATGTGGCCCGTGGCCTTCGTCATTCCTTATTGGGAGGAATGCTTTGGAAGCTCAGCAAGACACCCCACCCAGAATAGACCCAGCCTGACAAGGGGTCGTTAAGGATGAACTGCAACCTGCACAGATGAACTGCCGTGTGGCCAATTGCTCCCCCGGGGTGTCCTAGGTGCCCGGCAGGGTCACAGTTGTCCTGGGTGCTTCAAATTGTTTCAAGCTCTTTTTAATCAAACTTGCTGCAACAGCTGCAACAGTGCAGCGCCTCATCGACTAAAAGTGCGTCCAACTGAAGGATTTAACAGGGAGCAAATTCCATCGTCTCTTTCTAACCTCTCAGGAGATTTCTTCAGTCTCAGCGGCGATGCTTGGGGTGGTTTCACCGGATGCGCGTCAGTCAACGTCCGCCAAGTGTAGAAGCGCAGGCTGAGCAAAAGATATCACTTCGAAGACGGAGATGGTCCATTCAACCGATTTGGGGTGGCCGGTCTTGCCATGACAGGCTTCCCTTCGAAGCTCCGATTCGCAGCCAAACTGGGGCACCCTCACATGGCTGTGCCCAACTGTGCCAGTGCGGCGCCATTCACCAGGTGTGCCAACAGGCCTCAAAGGCCACAAGAAAAACAAAGAGGTCTGGGAGCTTGATGTGGGTGGATTGGAATCCACATGAGCGGGATTTCTATCAGTTCACCTCATTTTTCTTGAACAAACTTGCCTTTGTCACTATTAAAAAGAAAAGAACACCTGCTCTGTCTCTCTGTCTTTCTCTCTCTCTCTCTCTATCTCAATCCTTGGGGCAACTACAGGGAGCCAAGTGAAGGAATGTGAAAATCGACTGCTCACTACGATGTGACAACCAAGGGTCGACTGGTCAAACATACAAAACCTTCTCCAACCATGTATGACTATCCAGGACCAATCCTTCAGATTCCACAAGGATCGCCTTCCAAATGGCGGCACAGGGCACCAGCCAACATCGTCTTCCAAAGCAATCCTTTGGAGCTTATTATTTACAAACAATCAAGGGGATCCCATGCCTGGCCAGACTCCAGTTCCAACCCACCACCAGTTGCGTCGAACTGCCCTCCGCTCCCCTGACCTCCAGCCGCCCCGAAACCGCTGCGAACGAAGCCACGGAGGCGCCGCGTGACCTCTTCCGGCGCCTCGGACATCGCCTCGCGAGCCGGACGGGGCCCCGTTCGTCTCCAGACCGACGTCTCGTTGTGCGACGGCGCGGTGGGGGCGGGGGGGCATCGCTAAGGAATGTGAAGCATATCTGGGCCCCAATGGCTTTGATGCCGAGTTGGAGCCATTGGGCCCACCAACGTCGAAGACGTGCCGCAAAAGACAGCCTGCGAGTGTCGCAGGTCTTGCATGGGACCTGCAAGACTGGACTGTTTGTTTTTTTGACACATGCACCTGGCAGTTCTCGGTCACTTCGAGGGTGATGAATGTTGTCCCCTATGAGGAGAACTCCTTTGGATGGATCCTTGTTCCACCTTCAATCCTTCAACCAAACAGCATTTTGGGTCCGCGCATGTGGGAGGTTGCGGGGGGGGAGCTTTTCTCCATTACCACCTTGAGCAACTTGCAAGAAAGACCTCTTGTAGGTAGCAACTTGTAGGTAGCCACTAGGTGGTCCACAACTACAAGTTTCGTCTTTTTTGCCAATTAATACCCAGTCAAAGACTATAAAAGAATGGTCTTTAGGGGACCTGAAAGGGAACTTCCTTTACTTCAGCCGGTCAAAATATAGTCTTTGGACTTCTAGGGAATATGTATCTATTTGTGTTCTCACTCAGCCCAACAAGGAAGACTCTCCCCTTGCCTCTCGAAGACTTCCCTGGCAAGCGGAAGTATAAATTGCGCCCTCTGTTGGACCGGGTGTCCCGGTTGCCTTTGGAAGACAATGAAACAATCCGGTTCATCGTCTTGTTTTTGTCTATAAGGTTTCAAGCAAAGCCAGTGTTGCTTGGCAAAAGTAAAAAATGAAAAACACGGATGGCAGCAATCTCAGGGCAGGGATGGTCGGATCAAATTTGCTGACAGGTGGTGGTGGGAAGTGCTGCACTCGCTTGAAGCACGTCAGAAATAAGATCCTGTGAAGACCAACCCTCTGACTTACAGGACTAGCAGTCCAGTGTCCAGGGATGCTGTCTAGTAACATGGGGCCTCCTGTTTCAATTTATGCCTCGAACCCATTTGATCTCTGTTTTGATAGGAAAGGACCATATTTCGGGTGGTCGGCGGTCCAAATTAGAGGTCACTCAGGGTTCTAGCTATAGAGTCCTGTTTCTACGACCATCTTCAGGTCACAATTGTGCCAGGCTATGCGAAACCGAATGCCGAAGAGAGAACACAAAAAGCACACTTAGAGAACCAAAAAGCACACTTAGAGAACCACACAGTTCTTTCTCATGTATGCGCTGACCATTGTGCAGATGTTCTACCAACACTTAACTACTTTCAGGCCCGACCCTATTCACAAGACACAAAATTTGGAGTATTGGAAGTGTCCAATGCATGTTCTGGCCCCTGCTTATTTTCAATTCTTGGCGTCTATATAGCTGGTTCCTATTTTGGTCATACTTTCTTCGTTTCGCAAAGCAAGTTCACCTCTCTTTCTTCTGCCGAATTCAGTCGTTGGAGATGCTTCGGGGGTTTTTGGACGCTACCGTCTTCGCCGGACGTTGGAACCCAACGCCCGGATGCCATCCAGACGATCGCGTAACGACTCCACGACTCTGTCCGTCTGCATGGGAAAGATTTGAGAAGCATGAATGCTCTAATCAGGACAATCTGAGTACCTTCAAATGATGGTTTCCTTCCTGATTAGAGCATCCAGTCTCAATCTTCGGCAAAGTGATGGTTTCTCTTCAAATGATGTTTCCGTTCAGTGGCTTTGATCAGCAATCTATGGCCTAATGTGTTTAACCTGTCCTCCAAGTGGATGTTCGACCAATTTCTAATCAAACCAACCTTTCATCATCTTTCAACCTTGCTCATCCATCTTTGTCCTGTACATATTTCATACAGTGTAGGTGTTGGAAGATTCAAACATTACCAAAGCACTAACCTGTCCAAAATCCTTTGTCCACCTGGCCATCTTTGGACAAAACTTTGGAATGTCAGGCAGGGTAAATCTATTCCATCCACGTCCACGTCAACGCAATTGTGGCAATTAATGGCAATTATGGTTCTTCCTAGCACAGAAGCATACCAAGACAGCATGTTGTTCACCAAGACTACAACGCAAGACATGTGAAAACATGAACGGAATACATTTCATGCCAACCGTGTTGGAAAACGGTCAGGAAAAGTGCCACGCACGCGTCTCGCGCACGTGGTAAACACCTCTGACCAGCTCACAAAGGGGATGCATGCCTCAGCTGCAGTGGTGGGCCCCACATGGAAAAAGGAACCGGAAAAGAAATAGGGGCTTACGTTTGCATCCTCCAAACGTGCAAGCTCATCCATAAAAAGAACAGTCAAAAGGCAAGCATGTTGCACAGTTGGAAACACATGATTTTCGCTCAAACAGTATTTGGATGTATTTGAATATGCCAGAACCACGCAGCTAATCAGCACGTGAGGATTTTTTTGCTTAAGCCCATATGGGCTTTACATGGATTTTACTGAGGTTATCATCGTTGAACATCTTGGTATCTTATGGCTCATTCCCACGAGAAGGCCAAAGACTTGCCCAAACAGCGATTGCTGCGCAGCCTTTCAGCCACCGGACCCAACCAATAAGGGTTGCTTGCACTGGCACACAACCACCAAATCGCTTCATTCAAACATACAAATTGCAATCCTTCAAAGAACAGCATTGAATTTAGTTTAAAAAAGAACACTGCAATCCTTCATGCAAGACTTTATGGCTTACACAACAAAATATGGCGCATGGCTCATGCATGTCTGGCCGCCAACCCTTTGTGGTCACAACGGTTATGCCCGTTACGCCCTCAAAAAATGGCATAAACATCCATAAAACCACTGGCTTTACCCAACACAACCGCCTCCTTCAACCGCTCATCGACCTCCACCTGCCTGGGCACCCGCGCCATCCCGACGGCACCACCACTCGACTGCGCAACCATGAGCGCACCCACACCGGTGGCCAAAAGGCTCCCAAGCACCTCGAGCGGTTCGTTGGATTCACAAGAGGGGTGAAATCGACCGGAGAAGTAGTTGGCAGAGTGAAAAGAAGAACTACATTGAGACCATACAATGAGGGATTGGTGAAATTACATGAAAAAGAGCGAAGAAAGGACAAACACTCAAGAGGCAAACAGACCCAATTGATATAGGGTGTTGCAGAAAAACGATTGAACGAAATCAATACCTGCGGGTGACTTAATCTGATGACAACATCGTGGCACGTGGGACTCCCATGCATGCTTGCACTGCACCAAAAAGATGTTTATGGCCGTGGCCAATCGTGGAGACTGCCTGATGGAGTAGAACAAAGTAGACACAATAACGACTTGATTCAGTGTGCAAGCAAGAACGCACATATGATATCGACTCAGTTTTCTCTGGCAGGTGTCCTTTGAGCTGGCAGGTGGCTTCGACAGTTGATAAAACAACACCCTCCAACACTGAAAGTGCAGGTGTGAGATGCAAATGGTACTGTATACTACGCAAATTCCCTAGACCTTCCATGTATGGAATAGTATGGACAAATACATGTCCCCCATGTATGACTCTAATGTTGGAGCAGCTGTGGCCTACATGGACGGTCTGGAATAACAGCATGTATGCTGCTCTTGCAGGATGTCTCACCCCTGCAGGAGAACTTTCGGTGCTTCGGCCTGCTTGGCGGCTTGGCGGCTATGGCCGGGGATGTGGTCAAGGAAAAAACGTCAAGACTAGTAGCGTCCTTGCTCCTAGTAGCGATGCCCTTTGCTCCTAGTAG